TAAGATCGCCTCTCAGCCTTCTCTTCTCAAGACGCAACAGCCCCAGTTGTCGCAATCTTCACAGGAAAGATATTCAGGTCCCTTAATCATCCTCGTAGCTCTCCATTGGACTATCTCCAGTCTCTCCAGTAGATCCCTGATGCAAACAATTACTGTAGAATAAGTTCAATGAAAACAAGAAGTCTGCATTAGTAAGGATTTCAGAGTCATCCGAGTAAATGAGGAGTAGCTGTGTGTCTTTGAAAGGTCCTTCCTTCCGCAGCTACCTCCTGCTCAATGTCTGGTTCGGAGGTCTTGAGGAAAAGCTATGCTTCTTAGGTAAAGAAAGGAAGTTTCATTAGATGGCACTGTTTCCTCTGAATCAGGATGGAAGGAATAGCTAGGACATTACATGGTAATACCACGTTAGTACTCCTGGATGATGTTTAAATCAGAATCACTAGCCACACACGATAGTTAAATAATCCTACAGAATTTTTCTAAGAGCAGCACAGCTAAACTGAACATCATGCCAGACTAATACTCCTGATGTACAAGTAACATTTGCTTCAGATTCAGTTAGATTGATTTAGTTTCAGTCCCTCTTCCAGGGTCTTCCACTGATTGTAAAAGATTGTAATTGAACAGTAACTTTTACCTTTCAACACATTAGCGTGCATTATACTAGGTGCAAGGTCTGTATGTACAAGTGCCTAAGAACAAAGGTAAAAAATTTAAGTGGTTATTAGTGCTGCAAATCTATTCCCAACTTGTTGCCTATAATTTGTGTTTGGACGTAACAACTCCCAGCTTGAGTTTTAGTCTTGCTTAGAAAAATCTCTCAGTTGAGTATTGAATGGGACAATAAAGATAAACATCACAAATAAAATCTTAGTTCCAGTACAAATAGAGTTCTAACACTGAAGTTTGCAAGAGAGATAGAGACAAATGTATTTTATTACACTAGTATATAAACCTTCACAGAAAAAAGTCACTATCTTCCTCTAGAGTGAAAATTTTGTTTTGTCTTTTTAACATTCAAGAAGTGCTTAGCTCAGAAAAGTAATACATGCACATTCAGCTAGCCAGAACTTTAGAGGAAATTTTTGGAGAAGAGACACGCTGGAAGAGGTGGCTGAACAGACTGTTGTCTTTGCTGCATGTTTGGTTGGTGGACAGGGGAAGCTGTGCCATTTCGAAGAGATTTAGATTGCTAATCTGGGCAAACATCTCTGGCATTTCCTCACTTGAATGCTTAATTTGTCAGCCTTCAGTTTTTACCTTACCTGCTTTTCACACAGAAGACACATATGTTGCAATCCTTCAAAAAAATCTAACAACTGTAAACTTTAAGTCACCTTCCCTTTAAAAAAAAAAAATACAACTGATAAGGAAAACTTAATGAGGAAAAATATCATGCCACATCAAGCTAGTCTGACAGCATTCAAGATTTCAGAGTACAATATAAAATTGTTTACCACTATCAGAATCTAAAAGATGAAATATAAGGCAGTGCTATAAACATTAATTTATTTCCCTCATACGGACTTCCATAAACATGAAGATAACCACAGAGCAGTGCACATTTCTTTTAACAGGTCATGTTGCATATGCTATGGGAGATTTAGAGTGAGCTTGTCTGATGGCATTAAGGACGTGAAGAAAAAATTAAATTACTCCTGCACAACAACGTACAGTTTCTTTTTCTTTTATCTTCAGCTATTGGTTTATACGTGCCCCCTAGACACAGAGGTTGCTTAAACTGCCATACTACCAGAGCCCCACAACAGCAAAAGGGAAACAGGGGACTGAACTAAATCCATCCAAACTGATCTGATACCACTTTATCAGAAAGCCAGATATGAGTCTCTCACAATATTCTCATCAGACTGTTCTCCAGAATCACTTGTCACTGGTCAGCTGCTTAAACATCTGTTCTAGACCTGTAAATTACCCAAATCTTTTTAAGACCTCATCATTAATGCAAAAACAGTTCAAGCTTTGCATTTATTTGTGAAGTTTTCCTCTTAGCAAATCTTCAGTCAAAAAAAGAGAAATAACTTACCTGTGACTGCTTACTGACCCTGCAGGAACTAAATTGCCTTGCTCCAAGGCAAGCAAAGGTCCCTAGAGGTTAATTGAGAGTTTTCCCTCAAATAATACATTTTACATTTCACTACATATTATCAGGTGACTTTGCATAGCAAGATGGCTGAAAAGGAACTGCACAATCTCAAGGGTATCAGTGAATTTTAACCTCTTTGAGAAAAGCTGGATTTTAATTTAAAAAAAAATAAAACCCACCCTCATCAGGCCAGATTCTGAATTCATATGCTACACAAGTATATTTGCAGAGAAGCTATTCATTTCAGCCCTACTTGGGAATTCACTCTGGCTGCTGGCAAAACTAAATGTCTAAAATCTTAAATGCTAGGATGCAGTCCTCAGTTCAGGAAACTGCCTTCTTTAAATGTCTTTCTGGAATTATCATTTTGGGTCATAATCATTTCCAAAATACTTTCTCATTGTGACTTAACAGTAAGTATTAGCATTGATTTCAGCAGACCCACCTGGCAGTGGTAAAACTTTAATCTCTGAGTGGAAGAACAGACTTTGGGCACACAGAGAACATCCTAAAATAACAAAATGTATTTCTACAGGGAAATAATATTTCTGTTAATCTTTTAATAATAATTGCAATTCTATCTATACTTCCATACTAACAACAGACAAAATCTTGTCCTTTTTTCACCCAACCTTTGGAAACATTGAAAAACATCTAAGAAATACATTGTGATCTGATCTTTAGGACCTAAAGGCCAATGGTCGCTACACACTTCAAAGAACAAAGAGGATTTTTCTTTTAACTGAATTTTGCATTTTATTGCCAATAGTTTATGACTTTGACCATTACTCTACCAGCTTTATTCATTCTATAAGGTCTGCATCGTAGGAATAGCAGTGCCATTCTTTTCAGTGAGTGAGATACTGGTCACTCACATTGAGACAACAAAGTCTGATGTATGTCCTTTTTTTCCAGGAGCTCTAAAAGAAGTAGGACTAGCTGGAAAGCAATCTGATAGCATGAAGACATGAAACAAGACAAAGTACCATAAGTAACTTGCAAGCTAAAGGAAGAAAACAAAATCCTTTGTGAACGCTGAAAGCACACGTGGAACACTTCACTTCTCTGCAATTGCATCTCAAATTCCCCATTTCCAGTTGATACAGGAAGATAAGAGAATGACTTTAGACCTCATTAGTGAAAAGGGCAGAACAGGCAGTCAGGCTCCATTCTTTCAGCTGGAGGGCTGACTACACACAACAGGCAGAGATGGCAGGGAAAATGTATTGTTTTTATGGAAAACACAAGTCATGGTAAGAAAGGAGGCTTAACATGTGCCACTGACAAAAATCATGGGAGCTGAAATTACCTAAACTCATAGCACATAAGGTTACCCTCTTTCCATCTTCCACACAGAACTACCCCATGCCTGGCACTTCTGGTTTGCTTTGTGTACTAGTGAACTCAGAAGTTACCTTCTGCACCATTGAAAACAAAAAAAACAAATTAATTGTGCCAGAGAGGTGTTGGCATTTAGGACCACATGGGGTATGATGTTTCACCAGTTCTGAAGATGATTTCATGTGCTGTTAGAAGCTACAGGTGGGGTTTCCTAGTCATGATCTCTTTTTATGAAGAAGGCTGTGGTGATACCCCAAGAGCCAGTAGCTGTCAGAGACAGCAGTAGAGTCATCTGCTTTATCTGTATTAGAATTGCACAAAGCCACTTCTTAATGTAGCATCTGGGACAGAAATAAGGTTTGATAGAGCTTCATCCCAAATCTTTTCACTTCTTTTCTCCACCACAGGGGTAACACTCAGAACAGCAAACTTTTTTCTATCCCTCAGTTCATACCAAAAAGAAAGCTTACACTTGCTAGAGAATTTAATCAGAAGGTTGAGCTGCTTGGGGCTTTTTTTGGTGTGGGTTTTTTTTGTTGTTGTTGTTAGGATTAAGTTTTTAAAGCAAGCTTTTTGTAAAAACAGGATAACCAAGACTGCTCCTATGAATGTTTTGAAGAGAAAGTTCTTGCAGAAGGGCCATCAGCCTGCATTATCCCAGTACCCTATTAGCTCAGCTGCTCTGTTGTCTGAGTAGCTCTGCTGGTTAGCGAGCATCTGTGAGCTGGGGTCTTCTGAGATCGCTGAAACACCATACGAAGTTTCAGTGGAACAATGCTCTTAAACAAGGGCACTGTTTAACCCTGTGCACTTTATTTTATAAAGCCTAAAGTGATTTTTATTGTTTTGTTCTCTTCTCAGAGGGGAAAAACTGTAGTCATGTGTAACAGAAATTGCCAGCACAGTGTAATATTTCACTGTGTCTAATGGGAATGAACATAAAGAAAACAAAATATTGCTTAAAGAAATCATAAATTAAATGCAATAAAAATAATAACATGAGTAGTGGATGTAAGTATTATAATGAAGGCTCTCTTTAATATTTTAATAAGAAAAAAATCCTCTCATAATTCTTTTATTCTATCCTCTCCCTCTTATTCAGAAGCAATTGTATGTGTCCATTTATTTAATTCCTTTTGTTTCTCCTGTCAACTCAACAAAGAGACTTGAAGTATTTCTTCATACTGAATTTTATGAACACGCTTTCACGAATTCCATAATAAAAAGCCATATTTTTATATAGTATATAAGAACTAGAAAGGTACAAAATGTGTTAATTTTCTCTTCAAATTAAATCTACACAGTAGACAATAAAATATTCTATTAATAAATCACAATCTGAATGTGAAAGAGCAGGGACTAATGAAACACAAGCACAGCTTGTGCTGCATTTCTCCTCAATCATTTGAGGCAATCAAAGGAGGCAAGAAATCATTGAAATCAAACCTCAAAAAAATAAAATTTGATTCACCTTACAGTGCTTAGGATACAGCAATATTATTGTGTAGTAATAATAATGGATTCATTAAAATGAACAGTAGAAAAGTTGGCTTACTTCTCCAGTGAGCTTTTTTCTAATCTTTCTTTCTCTTTCCTCTGACGTTCTTTGCTCCTCTTAACTCGAGTTTCCCACAGTCCTCTTATGAGAGAAAAGTCAAATATTATCACCTGATGCCCCATACTGTCGACATTAAGCTTCTCCTGCAAGAACAAACCATCATGAATGCTTCAAGAAAGAAATAATGAGAAAAATAAGGAAATAAAAATCATGTTTCATTAAAATTATTGGGGAAAAAAAAGCTGAAGTCTTAAGAAATATTAACATAGTATGCTTTTCATCTTACCTAACGTGTCTAGGGTTTTGTGCTTGCAGTAATCAATGTAGCTTACAATTGACTTTTACATAAAATCTAGGGCAACAGCTAAATGTCTTTTTTTTATTATTCCTTGCACTTTTGACTTTCCAAGATAAAGACAGAATTGCAAAGATATACTAATTTGATTATATAAAACAGATGAAAATAACTTTAAAGACTTTTTATTTTTAACAATAGATGTAACTAATATTAAGAGTTCAAAAAGTATCTATTCATTGCAAAGCATGAAAAAGCACTTAATTTCAGGTTGTCATGTATTGATCTTTATGCACCCAAGCTAACCCTTTCTTGCAGAATATGAGAACTTCCAGTGTTTGCATTAGTAAGTTCTTATCTGTGAAATTCATTGAAAGACCAGTCCTGTAACATAAAATGAAAAATTATGTAAAGCAGTGATAAGGTAAAGGTTTGTGTGCACATGGTCCCCACCTATTAGTGTGTGTAGAATTACCATCCAACAATCGAACGTTTGATATCAGCATATTAGGTCCTGCGCAGTTGAGAACTGAGCTGAACTGCACCCTAACTTGCCAAGCTTTCTGTATTGTTAAAACCATAAAAACTTCTTGCAGGAGTCTCGCCCCTATCGAAGTCTGTGATAAAGCTCTCATTCCCTTCAGCAGGCATGATGCTTGAGCTTGACCTAATATGTTCTTTTTTACTTGAGGAGGAAAACACACTGTAGTATCTTCAAAAAACACAAGAAATGAAGACCTCAGATTTACATCTTGTGAAACACAGTGTGACTGGCAATGTGGTGTTTCTTACTAAACTGTAGCCATGGTTCAGTACCAATGAAGGAAATAAGTCTCCCACTGAATCACTAATGCAAATACAGATATAAATCTTGATAAAATAGGTAAAACTGTACTCTTTTGCTTGGAATAATTGGTGGGGGTACAATCATCACAATGCTCTAGTTTTTCACGTGTATGAAGCAGCTAGATTGTCTACAGAGGACTTCTGCCATGTTTGCTTTTTTACAAAATAATTTGCTGAACCACTGCACACAAATCAGGAGGTAAAGGTCAGTGATCTTCAGCTCCACATCGATGTGCATAAATCTATGGAGCTGGATGGGGTACATCCTAGAGCTGAGAGAACCGCCAGGGGTGCTCGTCAAGCCACTGTCCATCATTTTTCAACAGTCTTGGCTGACTGGGGAAGTACCAAGAAAGCCAACAGCACCCTGGCCTGTGTCAGGAATAGTGTTGTCAGCAGTAGAGAGGTGATCCCTCCCCTGTACTTGGCCTTGGTGATCCCACACCTTGACTACTGTGTCCAGTTTTGGGCCCCTCACTGCAAGAGGGATATTTTGTGTGCTGGAGACAGTATAGAGGTGGGCTACCAAGCTGGAAAAAGATTTGAAACATGTGTCCTATAAGGAAAGGCTGAGGGATCTGGGCTGTTTAGCCTGGAGAAGAGGAGACTGAGGGGAGACCTTAGTGCTCTCTGCAACTACCTGAGAGGAGGTTGTAGAAAGACGTGGGTTGGCCTGTTCTGCCTAGTGGTGAGTGACAGGACAAGAGGAAAGGGCCTTAAGTTGTGCCAGGGAAGGCTCAGGTTGGATATTAGGAAGAATTTCTTTACTGCAAGGGTTTTCAGCCATTGGAACAGGTTGCTCAGGGAGGTGGTTAAGTCACCATCCCTGGAGGTGTTTAAGAGATGGGCAGATGTTGTGCTGAGGGGCCTGGTTTAGTGGTGTTAATGGGGCTAGGACAAGGATTGGACTGGATGAACTTGAAGGTCTCTTCCAACTGAAACTGTTTATGATTCTGTAAGTCTTATAAAAGAGAAGTTCAAAGCTTTTTTAAAAACCTAATTGCTTCTATCAAGACAAAAGCAGAGAAAAGGAGAATTAGTTTTTTAAAATTTGCTTGAGTTTTCATTAGCTATCATATCTATTATATCATTCATAATCTTAAAAGAAAATAAAAGGACAAAAGAAAACCCCACTGGAGCATCTACTGATCATTTAAAAAGCAATCTATCTCTTCCTTTACTGGGTATTTTCACCTTTGTACCTTTTACTTTTTCTTCAGATTTTATTGTGATCATTTTTTCCAAGCTCTACATCCTTCAGTGGGGGCCATTTATCATCTGTCCTTCTGTTATAATACTGAAGAGGAAGGGAAAATTATTTTCCCCTCTGTATTTCCCCTCTTGTATCTTTGTAACTGTACCTTTTCTCTTTCACCTTCTTTCACCTATATATATCTCTGTAACACATAAAGGAATAATTTCTTCTGAGGCAGCAAAACACCCTCATGTCCTCTGTAAAATGCACATCATGGACTAAAAAACAATTATGCATAGGTACATCACAAGCAAAGGTTCCTACTTCTCTGCTTTATTTATCATCTTAGTAAAAAACATCCTTACAAATACCTTCAAGTATTGGCACAGAGACTGGTCAGAGACCAATATTTTTCTGTGACATAGTTTTCTGTATCTGAGGATGTTTATATAAACTGTTGTTTTTGCTGTCCATCAAGCTGCTCTCATTGCTTGTTTATCTTTGCGAGTGCTAACAATGAGGCAAAAATAGTTCCAACCTATCTGGAACCAACTGCTGACAACAGCCGAGTCAAAACCCCATTAATAGCAGTGTAATGAGAATGGTGACCTTATTCTCGGTGGAAAAGCTTATCTATAATCAGCTGCATCCTTCTAAAACATATTCACTAATAATTTACAGGAAACTGCTTACCACATAAAATAAAATTCTCCTCTGCTGCCAAATCAAGAACCTGGTGACAAGGACTTCCCCCTCACAGTAGCTGCAGACCAGCAGTCACTCTGCAGGGTGTAATTCATTTTAATAGACCAATTCATAGCAGTGTATTTTGGTAGAAGGGGTATTGCAAGAGCTGAATTGCTGAGAGACAGTGAAGTGGCAGCTGGGCATTTGACCTCTGTTGGAACTAGATGACCTTAATCAACACAAAGTCTGAATAAACTGTGAAAGTACACTATTTCGTTCACTTCTTCCCCACCTTCCTGTCTCACAGGTTAAGTCCTCTGTTCTTTATTGAGACACTGATTTATTAGACACTCGGGTTGGAAAAGTTCATATGGCTTTTACTCACGTATTGCATTAGGCAGCAATGCATTGGGGGTTTTCTTCAATGGTAAAACCAAGCAGAGGAGGAACATGGGCAGGACATGAGAGATGTCCATCATAACTCCTCAGGACTAATCTCTTCAGAAGGGATCTTCGTTGATATCTACCACACCGAAAAGGTCGCCCAATCACCTTCACAGGGCTGTTGATTTATGCTATATCCTAGCCCCAAAATGGGCATGAAGTATCAAGCGTGATGGCCGAATGTGTATTTCCCGAGGTTCAGGTGTTACCATTTTCCTGGTGATGAGATGTTGCCCAGAAAAGAGAACTTGGCAAGCCAGCAGAAACTAGACTTAGCTGATACTAAGAGTAGATTTTTCAGGGTGCTTACTCACGGATGGAAATAATTTGTGGCAGAAGAATCAAGTACTAGCAATAATTTCTATCTTTGGAAATACATAGTGCTGTACCTGTTCAAGCTCATGTTAAACTGATGCCTTCTTCTAGTCATCAGTTTACACCTGCACAAGAAAACCTAAAGCTATGAGCTATCAGTCACAAGTGGGAAGTTATATTTGGGAACCAAATCTACACATACTTCAGCCCCCATCTTCTAATTTTCCCATCCTTTTGTAATTCATCGTTGCTCCTTTCACACCCCATACTTACACATCCTCATTAAGGGCAAGTTTCGGTAATACTTGCAAGGATTACTCAACCCACTAATATGGTAGTAAGTGAAAAATAAAAGCCATACTGAAGTTATTTCTCCCAATCTTGTTTTCACTAGAGACAAGTCCTGACCACAAAAGCAATCATCACCTGCATCTGCAAGGCCCTACTTCATAACTACACTGAGTTTGCAAGTTAATGTCATCTTCCCTGGGAGACATCTACATCTAAATTATGCTGTAGATCATCACCACACCTTTCTTAGATGATGCATGGTTATAACGTTCATTCAGTTTTATGAGTTATTAGTGAGATAGATCACAAAAGCAAGGCTCTTCAGTAATGTATGATAATGAAAGCACAATGATCTCCAGGGGAAAAGGGATTCAGGAACTTAAAGAGAAGGCAAAGATATCATTACAAGAGAATCCCTTGTGGAGAAAACGGTTCTCTGTGTGTGTCTATGGAAGCAAATAATCTTATCCCTAGCCATTTATACCTCCCAAGAAGTAAGCTACAAGAGCTTAATCAATATCCTTAAAAGGCAACGTACTCGGAAGTCAGTCTGATTTCTTATCTTTCTTTTTAACGGTTAGGTCAGAAACAAAGTTGACCATTCAGGACACATTTCTTTTTCTAATAATTACAAGATTTTCTATTCATAAGCAGCTACATGTTGCATTTCAGGCAATGTTTTTAAGTAATTCAATTTAAAATTAAAAAAAAATCACTTTTTTGATAATTAGCATTTTTACTATTTGGCAAGGTGATACTAGAGTTTCTAAGCAGAAAAACTTTTACTAATGGCAGAGGAAAGAAGTTTCACTTTGCTTCATTCTTTCCTTCTCCTTATATTTTTCCTAAGAAGGAGAAGAAAACAAACAAACAAGTAAACCACTTATCCTTGAAAAAAAGAAAAAATCCATTTTAACACCATGGTCTCTGAAACATCTCTTCCTTAACTAGCAGGCTAGGTCAGCTGCAACCTTCTCCAAATTATCATCAATAAGAGACTCTCTATAACTACCATTTTCCCTCTCCTCATTCTAAACCACAATTTTGTA